GGAAAAAGCCTTTGAGTTGAAACCCCTTGTTAACAAACCTTGAAACCCGGGTTCCAGCACAATAGGATTTAGCCACAAAAGTTTAGATTTCTTACAGAAATTGAGATTGTTAAAGGAGAAAAAAGTTTGCATGGATTGGTTGTGCATCAATCTTTATCTTTCATCCTTAAATTAAGCTTTAGAAGTCCGGATTTTTTTTTTTAAATTAAAGAGCAAAGAATGTCAGAAACACAACTTTTTCCAGTGGACGCAACTGTTCAGAAGTGTTAGCACAATCCATACGGCTTTCAAAGTGTCTATTGCACTAAATTGGAAGGTAATACATTCTTACAACCCGTGCGCATGTCATTTGGACCCAAAGAATTCATTAGCAAAGAATTTTTACAAATATATTTCCAAATCCAAAAATCACCGGTTCGGATTTGAAACCCCATATGATACTTGAGGTACTCCGATCTTCAGGTTCTGAAAATCAAGCACTGACTAATTGAAAATGCTCACAAAAATGTCTCTGAATTTTCAAAGTAACATGTTTTTACTCACAATAATTCGTCAAACTTCATCTTTCAAGTTAATCATATTATATAGGGAAAATTGGTAAATTTCAAATATATTTTCAGGAATTGCGAATAAAAACACCTGCTTTGCATTTTCCAATTGAAATTTATCAATTATTTTAAAAATAAAAATCATAAGTATCCAGGCTTTTGAAGAAATTCCACAAATTTTATACATATAGTGTACTTTAATTTCTTTTATTAACTTCGATCATTTTACAATGCAAAGTGATTAAAGATTCTCCTGTCATTGCAAAGCACCATGAATCACCTCTAATTACATATCATGATAATAAACATTGGTATCTATGGTTAGATTATGTCTATGGTTAGATTAAAATGAACACCACTTTCTTGATATATGTAATTCTAATATGCTTTTCCGGGGTAAAAATTTCTACTTTTTAGAACACCTTTCTGAGAGCTTCAAAGAACCTTGACGCACATTGAGAGGTATATAATGAAAATTGTTGCATGGAAAGATTTAATTTTCAAGCTTCATTTTAAGACTTTTTGAATTGAATTATAAAATAAAGAGTTGTCCTTCCTGGCTGAGGATCGGAGTCCCTTAGCCGAAACCCCACATGTGCCCCTTTACACGGTGATTATGATTTCTTACATGATTCAAATACTTGTATATACTGCAATATATGTTATTTTCATATTTAGTTAATATTTTATTACCGTATGTTGAGATGAAAAAAATCATTGATCTTGTTATTCATTGTCTTAAATTTTCATCATATCATGATATAATATAATGACACAATGTTCATTATTGAAGGGTAAGCAACACTTCATACTTCACACAATTTTCTATTTATATCTAAAGATAGATGTTGTTAAATTCTCCTGCACATTACGGTTAAGAATGTAAGAATTACAAAAAGTACACCAAAACGAAAAAACATACTTTCTATTAGTGTAATCTAAATAGGAACACTATAAAGTCCTCTTTTTAAGACTAATATTGTGTTCACAAGTTCTGCAAAATCAGGGTTGATCATTTTGACTCAGCACAATAAGAAAAACAAATGTGTTCAGAGATATGACAATGATGTAGAAAACCGTGAAGAATCGATCCAGTGTATAGGCCAGCAATTCCCACTCGTTCATCTTCTTGCTGGCATCCGAGAACGCAGACTTGTCGGTTTCCATGAAGTTGACGCGGTTATCGTCCCGTCGCCGTACCTCCCCTACTTCGACCTCCCATCCATCGTAAACAGCGTTCTGAATTCCACTCAGAGCCATTTCCTTTATGCTCTTCCGACTCTTTTTGACTTTGTCTACTGGGATCACGGATTTTCTTACCACCTGCCCCTGATCTGTGATATCCGTATTCCCGGTTTGTTGAGCTCTGAAGCGTACGATGGTTTCCGGCGTGATGAACATCAGTCGACCCAGTCCATCCACCAGAAATCTTTTGACCCATTTGGGCATCTCTCTACCACTGAGATCGTGGTAGAATAGATATACTACGATCGCTGACATCAGACAAGACAAGCAAGTGAGCAGAAGGGTATTGAGGAAGTAAATTCCAATTTTGGGAAAGAACTCAGATGATGATGGTAACGTATCCTGAATCAGTAGCAAAAAGACTGTGACTGCCAGAAGAATATTCATGTGGAATGTTATTTTTTCTCCAGAGATGGATGGCAACACGAACCCAGCGATGGATAATATAGTGAGTGCAAAGAAAGGCAAAATCATTGTGATTATGTAGAAGGTGGCCTTGCGTTTTATCACTAGTTTATAGGAAATGCTGGAGAAAGGTTCTTCACAGCATGTGTATAGTTCTGTCACCTTAGTTGCTTTCAGACTAACGACGACCCACTCTTGGTGGTTGACAAAGGAAGAGAGGTCTCCGCTTTCAGATTTACTGAATATTTCTATTTCGCTGTTTGAATGAATCCATGAACCAAATGTTAGAGTACACATTTGATGATCGTATGGGAACATGGAAATATTCATTCCGCATGTCATGTGTACTGTTGTTGGAAACTGATATTGAATTTCGCCTATATTTGTTATCAAGGCCCTGTATTGTTTCATATCAGGCATGTTTGCAATATCATCAATACCTTCAAAAAAAGTCACATCTGGGATCCAGAGTTTGTCGTATGGGACTCCTAGTTTGGAAATTCCATCAAATTCGGAAGAATTCCACGTGAGCTTGCAGTCCTTCCAGCTAAGTCTGACCCAAATCTTGAGTTTTATGGTCTCGTATTTTTCTGATAAATCCACAATTTCTCGAAGTCCCATGTCTATTGTTACGTTAACAGCATTTTTACTGCAGTACGGATGAATAGCTGATGTGTAGTTATCATCAAACAATGTTTTGTATAAAACTGAAGCAAAATGGCTCTGGTTATCAGTAGATATAGCCATGGGGACTAAAATAAAGAAGCTGACAGCGGTCAATACACGTTTTGACGACATTATCAGTTCTAAGCAGCTCAATTGTCTACAGAATAAATGAAGGTGTGAAGTTTTTTTAAAGGTAATTTTTGTTTCCTGTTTAGAAAACTATTCCTGTTAGCTTTGTTATAGAATTCACTATTCTCTGGTCAAACTTAGAAGGTTATTACCGGCATTTTTTTGATGAAGCATATTGTTTCAATGGTTCCTTTTAGTGTTTAATTACATATTTTATTAATTATTTCCTATCTATTTGTTTTAAGGAAATATTTTTATCAAAATATTTTGCACTTCTCTATCATGCGGAAATTCTTAGTCTGGTAATTCAACCTTTTACAAAAAAAATATCAAATTATGTAAACTGCGTTTTATTTAAAGAGTTTAAGTCAAATATACGGAGATAACGAACAGTATTCAAGATCAAAATTCCATTAAACAATACAAAATAGGAGCAGAGCAAACGCATTTTAAACAGATTGTGGGTGTAAAAATAAGAAGTTAAACAAAAGAAAATTTTTCCTTATTTCTGTAAAATTCCTGTAATTTCTTACAGTTTTCAAGACAAAAATTCTTTGATTTTTATCAAACTATTTTGCATGGAAAATAATGGGGATTTTTTTTTATAAAAGAGGATTACCTATTTTTTTTTTTCAAAAGAACCGTGTAAAGTGTAAGATACAGATCATTTATCTTTTGAATCTTGTAACTTTGCATTTATTTTAAACTATTTCTGCTTTCAAGACTGATAAACTGCATCAATGCACACTGATAAGGAAGCAGACGCGCAGTTAATTATAATGTCCTTGATTTATATATTACATTTGGGAAAGAATTCGTAGTTTTAATGCATGATTTTAAAAAAGCGACTATTTTTAAAGTAAAGACACAGTGTATTCAAAAGGTTTCATTTAAAAAAAAATGAATTGTTAATGATTATAAAAATGTTATGTTATCCTCAATCTTTAAACTTTTTTTACAGATATCTTTTGACTTCTTTTTTTTATAAATTTAAAAATGCAATACAAAATTTAATCCAAGAATACATTTGGAATGAATAAACAAATACAACGCCCACTGTTTCCCCGCTGTTTATTGCAAATAAAACAAAGTATTCACAAAGTCACCAGCTTATTTTTTAAAAACAAAAATACTTGAATACTTCAAAGTATATGAAATCTAAAAATGTATGTTAAGAAACTTTAAAACAGCTGACATCGTATAAGTTATTAAAAACTATGTGGTTCTAAGCTACAAGTGAATTTAAAAAATGCAGGAAATTTTCTCAAAAGTCAAAGACCAAACAAACAGAATTCTTAAACTTATTGCATGATTGTTCAAAACGCAAAACAACAAGATTAAAAATTAATTCAGTAGGCATAAAACACATTGCTATATGGATAAAATATAATAGTATTGATAAAGATATACATAGTATATAATCAAGATTTTTAGATACTAAGTATCTAATTAAAATACAATCATTATATATATTATATAATTAAATTGTGTTCTATATACATAGTATAAAATTCATATATATACACAGTATAAAATTCATATATATACATAGTATAAAATTCATATAAATACATAGTATAAAATTCATATATATATACAAAGTATATAATCAAAACAAATTCTATATACATGGTATACACCAGTAATTAAAATGTATATATAGTGCAGTTAAAATTCATACAAAATGTATGATAAAACATCGTGCATGTTAATGTTAACATGACAAGCTCTCGACAGTGTTCTCCCAATAAGATCAGCTTGGCAAACAGACAGACCAGCTGGTCTAACATTCCATCATTATCAGCTTCTGTCCACCCTGAAGAAGCATCCAGACCATCCTGCTTTTGCTTTTTTCTAGTAACCTGTTTCTAAATAACACAGAAAAACACTATGTAAGAAACATGATAAAATAAAACTTAAAAGGCCAAATTTACGAGGGATGGGAGTAAATATATAATGTTATAGTTTGTATCTACATCAGATTATTTATAGATGGAGAAGCATCATTAAATGATGAATATTTCTCTGTTGTATTTTACCTCAGTTTGCACTTTTTCTGTGTTAGATGGCGGAGAATGATCCTTTTGTACCTGATTGTCAACCAGATGCGTTTTTGTCTCTACATTTTTCTACAAAGAACACAAAGGGATGAAAATAACTATACATAAAGTTCCCGTACTGCTAACAAATTTACGCCACTTAACATTATGAATTATGAATTACAAGTATATTTTACAACATTGTCACTGTGTCATGAACCAAATGATTTCAAAAGACGTGAAAAGTAATACAAAAAAAAAAAAAAAAAATAGGGGCCATTTACTAAATATATCATTCTGAAATTTGCGAAATTACAGATATTCCATCGTTGGAAGACGCGGATGACTGTGATTCCTGTAATTTTTGTGGGGGTTTAATTTTCGTTGTTTTTGAGGTACAAAGAGACCCACAACTCCATGTCCAATCACTATTCAGAACTTGTCAAATCAAAAAATCTTCATAAACCAATATTTTATCACCAAACTTCGAAATTTTGACCCAACAAAAGTATGAGGTTTAATTGTGTTACTACTAGTTCATAATTGTGTTTTTCGTGATTTTTCGGGGGGGGGGGGGGTGACTTCATCGTATTAAGAATTGTTTAATTTAAAAAAAAAATTAAATAATCAAACTTTATTTCAGATCAATAATTACTTACCGACTTCCTGGCTTCTTTCTCCTGGCCTAAAGTTGGAGACAGCTGAGAATTATCCGAGGCGGAGGGCAAAGACTGGACTGAATTTACAGAGTCCTGTTGGAAACAAGAGGCCCATGGGCCACATCGCTCACCTGAGAATCTTTTGTCATATTGTTCTTTACCAGATTGCCCCCTTGTAATACATATTGTGGCCCTGCCCTACCCCCTGGGGTCATGATTTGAACAATTTAGAATCTACACTACCCCAGGGTGCTTCCACATCAGTTTCAGCTTTTCTGGCCCAGTGGTTCTTGAGAAGAAGATTTTCAAAGATTTTTCCTATATATTTCTATGTAAAACATTGATGCCCCATTGTGGCCCCGCCCTACCCCCTGGGGTCATGATTTGAACAATTTAGAATCTACACTACCCCAGGGTGCTTCCACATCAGTTTCAGCTTTTCTGGCCCAGTGGTTCTTGAGAAGAAGATTTTTAAAGATTTTTCCTATATATTTCTATGTAAAACTTTGATTCCCCATTGTGGCCCCGCCCTACCCCCGGGGGTCATGATTTGAATAATTTAGAATCTACACTATCCCAGGGTGCTTCCATATAAGTTTCAGCCTTACTGGCCCAGTGGTTCTTGAGAAGATTTTTTAATGACCCCACCCTATTTTTGTCTTTTCTTGATTATCTCCCCTTGTGAGGGGACTTGGCCCTTCATTTTAACAATTTAAATTTCCCTTCACCCTAGGATGCTTTGTACCAAGTTTGGTCAAAATTGGCCCAGTGGTTCTTGAGAAGTCGAAAATGTGAAAAGTTTACAGACGGACAGACAGACAGACGGACAGACGGACGGACGACGGACAAAATGTGGTCAGAAAAGCTCACTTGAGCCTTCGGCTCAGGTGAGCTAAAAAGCATGCAAGTATATATAGATGGAAATGTACTTATATTGTACGAGTTAGCATAGTGACGCTGAAGCATCAAATTAAAGAGGATGTTGCTGTTCTTTTTTTTTTATTGTCTCCTGCTTTCACTGAAAGTTGGGGATAATAATTTCAGTCTGTCTAGCCGTATTTCTGTCTGTTTTAACACTCGTATCCGCGCCTTGTGTGGAGAAGCTTTTGAGCTATTGCGAAGGTATTTTAACTAACTCCCTGAACATAGCCCAATGAAGATCCCTATTAGTTTTGAGGTCTAAAGGGAAATTTCAGAAATTCTTTTTGTTTTCACACTTATGTTTCCAACCAATATCTCCTGAAGCCTTTGAGCAGTGAAATTTTATAGCACAGCTGCATATGGGATAAGAAAAAAAAATCTTATTTATTTTACTGTCAAAAAGATAATTATAAAGGTGAAGGTCGTTAATTCATACATTCTTTTTGTGTGCAAAACTTTCAGGGCGATATCTCAAGTCTTAGTAGTTTTATCAATTCAATGTTTTCTCATAACTCCCTGTTGTCCCTCCCATCTTTCATTTTGCCAAAAAGAAGGGATCATTTAACACTTACCAAATCATTAAAAATATGTAAAATTACATATTACTGTGACATCACTCTTTTTGTGAGGGGTTAAATTTTCGTTGTTTTCAAGGTACAAAGGGACCCAGCTTACATGTCCACTTCTTCAACTTTTCAAATGAAGAAATTCCCATTAACCAATATTTTATCCCCCAACCTTGAAAAGACTCAATGAAAATATGAGATTGTACAGTTTCTTTTTCTATTATGCTACAACTAATGTGTAACTTGATGCGTTAGTGTGTCTTTTCGACAGGGGGCGAGGGTCCCTCATAGGAATTGTTTTGTTAATATAAAAGAATGAAAGAGCCAAACGTAATATTTTACGTACCAACCATATTGATAAGCAAAGAGGGTAATTTCTAATAGAATACAAATTACTCTACAAGACTTCATTTTAGGTAATGATCTTATGAAATGAAATGTACTTCTTTGTCACCCATCAAATACACAACTTTCTCCTCTGGCAGAATGAATATATGAACTTCGGAAAAGTTTTGCTTTACATGTATTTCCCTGATTTTACGTGTGCTTACCTCAGTTTGAACTTTTCCTCTTTTCGGTGGCGTATTATAATCTTCTTGTATCCCATTGTCATCTAGACACCTTTTTATCATTATACTTTTCTACAAAGTACACCAAAAAATGATCATATATATGCTTAAAGTTTCTTTACTGTTACAGCTTAACGCCATTTTACACCGGAGAATTAGGTATTATGTTCCCCAAACGAAGTTGGGGAACATATTGTTTTTACTCTGTTTCTTATTATTATTATTAAGGTCTTCCGTCTTCACGGAAGA